GGGAAAGTCTAAGGTATGATTCTTGAAGGAATTCCTAAGCTTTTCATATGATTTTCTTTAAAAGAAATTTCTAAGGTTTCTTCCAAAATTCGTTTCCTTCAAAATATCTTTACAAGAAAAGTTACCCTTGCTATTATAAACATTTTTATGATTAAAAATCAAACTTTCATGGGAAAACTTTTGAGTTTAGAAATTAGGGTTTTAATGAAACTTTAAAATCTTTTGGAGAGAAGGTTACAGAAGCTTTCTTTGAAAATGCAAGATTTTTTCAAAGAATTTTAGGTTCAACTCTTAGTTTTTTCACTAATTGAAAAAATGATGATGCATGCTTACCTAAAGTGGTTCCAAATAACCTTAGGAGGGCTCTAATGGTGAAATTTGAGCATTTTTCACAAAATCTTTTTTTTTTTCCTAATTTTTATATGTATTAATCCGAAAATTAAATGCCATAAAATTATAATTAGGAAAGAGCAATGTTCTAACATGCAAATTGAATGATATTAGTGAAGAATTAAGTTTCCAAAAATTGGAATTTAGGTAAATCCGAAAATTTGCAATTAAATTACATTTCATTAAGGAAAATATTTGATATAAAAGCATGAGATTTGGATATGTTAATGAACATGATTAGATATGTGATAAATTAACATTTAAATTAATAAATATGTGATAAACATGCTTTAGGTTATGGGTAGGTTAATGAGCTTTAATGATCCTAAGGAGATTAATTAATTAATGGAATGTGTAGGGTGTTTAGTGAGGTATAATTGATTTGAGATGGTATAAGAGGCTTATGTTGTTATGTTATAACTTTTCCTTAGGACTTGAAAAGAGGTATTAAGGAGAGACCGGTGAAACGGCATTTTGAAGAAGCAACATTTGAGATAGGAACACTTTATTCTACAAATCATATTCCTTTATGTTTTGAAATGTTATATTAAATGTTCTCATGCATATTAATATTCTCATTATTTGATGGTAAGCAATGCACAGAAGTCTCTTTCATATAAATTTGCTTTATATTCAATGCATATGATTAATATGAGAATGCTACACTACATATTTATGTTTCTATGAAAAGAATGGTTGAATGTTTGTGCATGTTGAAGGCGAAGTGTCAAATATGATGCACAAGCACAATATGACTCTTATGAGCAATATGACCCTTCGGGACAAATGAGGAAAGAAAGATAAATGGCCAAAAATATGTTTGTATATATGATCCGTACACTTATGATACTCCAGTACGGTTGTATATGATAAAGAATAAGCAAGGATAGACATATGACATAGTTGAAAACATATACATATGAACTAGCATATGACGCTTAGCATATATATATGAACTAGCATGTGACACTTAGCAAAACAATCATGACATTTTATAAACATATAGAGGAGTTAACTCACTTTTAGCATGCATGTTGATTTTCATTTAATTGGTATATGAATTTGTTAGAGTTAGTGTTACCTATTGAGCTCTAGCACATTCCCTCATTTTGGGATATTTTTAGGAGAACACGCTGCTAGGAATGGCTGACCGCCCTTGGTACACTTACAGTCATAGAGGACCTGATGATAGATTCCTCTTATATTTCTTTTAGTTCTAGTTTAAATGATTTTGGGTGGTTTGGCATGAAAAAGATTTTATAGCCAGCTTTGTATATTTGAAACTTTTTATGCAATGATATAAAATGCTTAGTTTAATTTAGAAAGTTGTGTAGAGGCGCTTTTAGTTTCCTTTTGAAGTATTTCAGATTTTGCAATGCATGTTTTGAGAAAATTTCATGTTCTGAACGTCCGACATCCGTTCCCGCCTCGTTTATATGAGCTCATCGGGTCGGGTCGTGATAATAGGGCCTACCCGCTTCGCCAAAGGTGTTGCACCGGGTTCCCTTCCAACCACGCTAGAGAAAAGCGTGTATGAGCGGTTTTCAGGCTCGACATGAACGTTGAATGCGGGGTTTTGAGTTTAGGGAGTTATACGTTAGCGACAGACGACAAATACAAAATGCATACAAATAATCTACCACTTTTTTTACTATTTATTTTCCTTCTTTTTTTTGAATATCTTGTTATCTTTTTTTTTTAATCTTTTCTTCGCGCTCTCTCTCTCTCTCTCTCTCTCTTTTATTTCTTTTCTTTTTTTTGTAAATAAACAATAATAGAGGCCCCAGAAATGATAACAATACTATGCATTGTCACTATAACTAATAACAATAACTACAACCACAAATGGGAGTAATTAATATGGTAATTAACGATGACAGAGAGCAGAGTAAGCATGAAAAACATCATGAGGGTCCTTACCTATTAATGGGTTATTTTGATAGAGTTTAGGGACCTTGGTTGTCTCTTGAAATGGGCTGAATGAGGGTGGAGATGTGCCTTTAGGGATTAGGAAGCAAGTTGGTTGTTTGGGCTTTTGTGTATGTTGTTGGGCTGCTGTAGGTGATGGAGTGGGCTCCTTAGGATGATTTGGGATGAGCTATTGAAAGTTTGTGCGCGTAAAATGGGGTTGCTATAGGTTTCTCATGAACAGGAGCAAAGGACAGGCTTTCACGTGGATAGGAGCAGGAGAAGTAATCATAAATAAGATGTGGAGATAATGTTTGTGTGGAAAAAGTAAAGAGCAGCATGTGGATCGGAGGAAGCAGCCAAAGTCTTCCATTTGTTCAGTTTTTAACGAGAGCAGCGGGAGCGGGGTAGAGCATGTGTGATACGACGCTTCGGTGCCATCTGCAGGGAATGGTCAGGAGGCTGGATATCTGCATGATTTTCGGTATGGGCTCGGGAGCAGGTAATTATTAAATTTTTTATATGTTATTTCTCCTTTTCTTTTGGTTGTAGTGTATAGGCCAACAAAGACCCCCCAAAAAATGTGGTACGTGTTTTGAGCAAATCATGTTTGTTGCATGCTTATTGACCTTATAGATCTCCATATATTTTTTATGGATGTCACACTAAGGTTTTCATTTAATGGATCTCAAAAAGTTTGTTTGGATATCACATAAGGTTTTCATTTAGTGGAGAAGCAATTTTGGTATGAGTATACAGTAGGTTTCAGTCTACCAACACTAACAATCATTGATCGTAGTATCCAAAGAATCTGATTAGCAGCCATGGGTTGCCTCCTCTCAAGAATCCCGAGTAAACTGAAGTGGCTAGATGTAAGTTGAATTGGTTTATGTTTGAAAAAGGTGGTATGGGGTTTACATCTATTAGAATATCGAGAAGCTATTTTGATTTGGGATTTATTACTTCATTCAGAGGTTACCCAAAAATTTGAATTGAAGCGGGTCTTGCTGCTTCTTCCTAGAAGTAGCCCGGGTATTTGAATTTGGGTCAGGACTTATGACTATCATTTAAAGTAACTCGTTATCGTGTCTTACAGCTTAGCCCTATAGGCTAAGTTGCTCATTTTTTGTTTGTTTAGGTTTTAGGATTTTGCAATTTATTTTAGCAATTTCTCTTATGTGTGGGTCTTACGACTTCACTTAGAAGTTGTCCGTTAGCGGGTCCTATAACCTAGCTCTATAAGCTAAGTTGTCCATGGGTTTTGTTTTGATTGTTTGGATTTTAGGATTATTGCAATTTATTTAGTAATTTTTCTAACATGTGGGTCTTACAACTTCACTTAGAAGTTGCTTGTTGGTGGGTCATACAACCTATATCCCTATAGGCTAAGTTGCACATGTGTTTTATTTTGATTGTTTGGATTTTAGGGTTATAACAATTTATTTTGCAATTTCTATAACATGTGGGCCTTACGACTTCACTTAGAAGTTGTCTGTTAGCGGGTCTTACAACCAAGCCCATAGGATAAGCAGCCCCTTAATTCATATATAATTTGAGAGTTTAGTATTTCTCCTAGGAGTTTCTCTTAAACAACAGGTCTTACAACTTTTTTTAGAAGATGCCTAAAAATGGGTCTTACAACCTAGCCATTTAGACTAAGATGCCCACTAGTTTTGGAAGATATCAGTACCCTATTTTACTTTATGTACTACAATTGTAGCTTGATGATTAGTAACTAGAGATCTGAAGGTTGAATGATTTACTTGAAGTTTTGATTGATGAATGCAAGTTGATTGAAATTTCATTGAATGCATGCAGGCTCATTAAAAGCTGGAGGTGATTGATTGAGAGCATGTATGTTGGCTGATTGATTGATTGATCATTGATGATTGAATATGATTGAAGCATGGTTGGATACAGGAATGATTGACAGTTGGATAAATATCAACCATCAGATGGATGATCATAAATTTGGATAGGTCCTGATGACCTCATACAAAAATGAGGTCAACAAGGACTACCAAATGATATAATAGATTTTACGTATGACAACCAAAAATAAAATTTGTATAACCCTTAATACAATCAAAAAATAGAGAAGCACTAGGAAAATAGATCCAACCCTATATATATATATATATATATATATACACACACTGTGCAGCACTTACTTTGATGAAGAGGATGTCTCGCTTTCCCATAAAACCATCATTGCTAGTCTTATGCTAAACAAATATTTAAGATTGAAGCTGTTCATAGGTGATTCTATCAAAATCATATTAAAAATGTAGCGCTTAGTCTAATATTTAAAAAAAAAAAAAAAATCACTCAATTTTGGTCACAAAAAAGTATTATCATGTTGAAACAGATGGAATCCCTCATATCCCTGTTGGGTTAAAACTATAGACAGAAGTTCCAGTCCAAAGGAAAGTCCCTTAGATTTGCTTCTAATAATGCTCCATGTCACATACTACTTTCCAATTATATAATTAGTTTGGACTCACAGCCACATAAAAGCTGCACCATGATTTTCATGTAGGCCCAAAGCTATCATAAACTAGGATTAAATAAAAGTTCGTTTTTTTATCATTGCAAGCATTCTTTTTCTTAAAACCCATTCTTCACTTTTAGCAAGTAGATAACCATAAAAGTAGAAATATAAACGTGCAGTGAAGAATGGAGAAATCTTGGAGAAGACATACCAAAAACTTTTGTTACTAGCTTCACTGGCCTCATCTCTTCTCCAAATCTGCAGTTCATTTTCCTAGTGTATTAGATTCATTGATCAGTAATATATATTTTTCCTGATAAACTAACCTGAGATTACCTTTTGATACCTTCAGATGGAACCAGGAGCCATTCCGCTGGACAAATTAAAGGTAATGATTTTCAAGGTCAAGTGCAGATGTTTAAGGGAAAAGTTTTTATTTTCATGATCAGTTTACCAAGATCCTCAATGTTTGGAATTGTGGCCGAAACTGCCACGAAACGGACATTAGCCAGAGGACTAGATGTCATCTCTTTGCTCCGAGAGAGCATCTTTACTCTGCTAACTACTGCTTCTAAAGCAGCCCCACGTGGATCATTAAGCAGGTGAACCTCATCAATTAGTACAAGTGAAATATCACTAAAGAAGCTTAACCCGCCATCTCTAACTCCATGACGAGTCACAGCATCAAATTTCTGTAAAAAATAACTTAGTTCAACAAAAACATCTGAAGAATCAAGCAAAAAAAGGCAATTAACAAATCTATCCATATAAATAAATATTTTCGATGATATATTTTTCATCACCTCAGGAGTTGTTAGAATGATATCAGCTTCATGTATGTTCTTTGTATTATAAGATTCATTGTCACCAGTCAACTCCAAACACGTAATTCCCCATGTAGGAAGTTTCATATTCCAGTTGCGAAGCTTTTCCTGTACCAAAGCCTTTGATGGAGCGATGTAGATCTTACATGCATTGGGTATAAACAACAGCAAAAAAAAAAACAAATTAGCAGACCGGCAATGACTAAATCTCTACATTTTTACCAAAGAAAGTGACGCAGGGCTAGGATGCTTTCAAGGATGCAATAAGAATTTGCATGATTCCTTGATTAGAATAATAAATATTAGACTATTAGCAATTAAAACAACAAAATAAAACAAGAGAGGGGTGTCTACGCTTAGGCCAAGCCACTTGCCAAACACTTGGAGAATCAAAACAATTTAGAAATTCAACAACAAGCAAAGTAAATAGCTTTCAACAACATCCCTAATCTAACAATAAGATTAGAAGCATAGAAGGCATGCTCAATCATACGTTTACTAAGCTTAGGCGTAAGGCGGAACACGGGTCCTTCTGATTTATCACCACCTACAAACTTAGGGGATTAGGAAGATAATTGAAATGGGGAAGAAGTTCACCTTTGTCAACGTCCAGACATAAGTAATTGAAATGTTGAAGAAGTTCGTCGTTGTTTCCCTTGAAGGTTCAACTTTGTCGAAGCCCGACAACAAGTAGTCAAGATGTTGAAGATGATCATCGTTTCTCCCCTTGAAGACTACTCTTGAGAGGGAGGAGATTATCTTGAGAAATCAAGAGGGGAAGAGGGATGGAGGTGGCCGGCTAAGGATGAGAGCACGGAAGAGAAATTTGGTTCAAATTTTTGGAAGAGAAGGTGGAGGGAAATCAAGTATTTGTTTCCCCAATGAATCCTTTTACTTTGAGAAAGGATTAGTATTTAATTAGGGAAGGGGTGGGGTGGCTAAGGAGGAGGGAGAGAAGGTTTGAATTATTTCCAAGAGGGGGAGGAGGCTTATGGAAAAAATTCCATGGGAGCCCATATGGGGCCGGCGGCTTCAATGGGATGGGAGGGAATTTGTGAAGAGATATTAGGGTTTCTTAATTTGGAGGTAGGAATTAGAAAAGATTAAATTAAATCCCATCTAATTTGAAATTCAAATAGGACTTAAATTTAGTAACTTTCCTAAAATAGGATCTCTTAATTAGGAAAGAATTTTCAAATTCAAATTACTTTGAAATTTGAAATTATGATTTCCTAAATTAAGAACTTTTAGTTATGGAAAGTAGTGGAAGGAGATTTGAAATTGGGGAGGGAGGATGGGGGTAGTAGGGCCGGCCAAAGGGGATGGAGGGAGAAATAGTTAAATTACTTCCAAAGAGGGGAATTGGGATTAAGGAAATAATTTCCTAAATCCCACCTATAAGGGCCGGCGGCTTTGAGGAGGTTGGAGGGCTTGAATTAATGAGGCATTTAATGCCTACTTAAATTAATAAATTAAGTTTGGAAAGAAATATCTAATCCTCTCTTAATTTAAAATTTAAATAGGACTCAATTTAGTAAGTGATGCGGACATCCAACCGTCCATGCCTATCCGAGGAGGAGCTGAAGATCGACAACCAAGATCTCTTTGTTTTATTTTAGTTTATTGTATTTTGATTTAATTTTGCAATTTCCCTTTTTACCCTCTTGTCTTATGTAAGCTCAAGGGGCAAATGTGTCTTTTTATTTCTTTTAAGGCCTATATATAGAGGCCCCTTCTTTTATTTAAAATTCAAATTCTTTCCTAAATTATAAAATCTATTTTAGCAAAGTTTTTAAATTTTCCCTCCTCTTGGTTTTTCCCTCCATCACCAACTTGCCCTTAAACCTTTCCTAAAATAGTCTTTTATATTTTAGGCAACTCTATTCATGAGTAAATTCAAATCCATTTGAATTTAAAATAGTTACCTAATTTATAATCCTATTTTTTGTAACTTCCTATTTCATAGCCTATTTAAATTTCAAATTAAATTGGATGAAATCTTTCATTCCAAATTTAATTTCTTAATTTAAGTAACCAAAATCATCTCCCCCAATCTCCTCCCTCATCATTAAGCCGCCGGTCCCCCTCTACAATAAATGCCAAGGTTTATTTCCTAAAACTCATATATGCATTTGGAAAGACTACCAATTTCAGCCCTTAGTCAGGCCGAAATCTCCTCTATGACTGCACCGCCCAAATCTTACTAAAATCAGCCCTTTTTTTTTTCTCTGGAAGTAAATCTTTGTCTTAAATCCCTGCTGGCAGATTTTTCCCAAGGCCTTGCCTGTGGGATCTCTTCCATTAAACTCCACGTGACAATGATTCTACTCCTTCCTCCAACTGCAGCATAAAGTCTCCTTCATTGTCTTGCATCCACACCTCTTGGAAGTTCTAAAATTGCTGATCTAGAAGAGGAAAATTGCTATCCACCATTCTTCTTCAGCCCTTGGAAGACCTCTAGTTGCTGTGTTGGAAGAAGAGTTGTTGTCCAAGACTTCTAAGAGTCAAAAGCTGTTGTTTAGATCCCTCAATTTGCTCTTCAAGATCCTTAGGATCCAATCCTCCTACCCGTTCTACATCAATAAGTTTCCTAAAATAGGATTTTGTAAATTAGGAAACTCTTTCAAATTCAAATTAATTTGAATTTGATTATGAAGAGAGTTACCAAAATTATTAAATCTATTTTAGGAAGGTTGTGGGGAACGTGTAGAAGGGGGAGGAGCCAAAGGTGTCTAGTAGTGGAGAGGTGGCCGTGGATGAAGTAGGAGGTTGGGGGGAGGATATAGATGGCCGGCGGCAAGGGGTTTTGGGAACTCCTTAGGCGGCAGCTAGAGGAAGAAGAGGGAAGGAAAATTCGATAGAAAAATAAAGAACCACGAACCCGGCCGTCTCCAAGGTTGGTGGGTACTCCAAATTCCCTCTCCTAGGGATCTCTCTCTCACTTTCCAAGCACTCTCAAGATCTCTCAAGAACTCGAGCAATGGCACAAACTTTTTTTTATCATTCAATCATTCATTAACTTTAGAAGAAGAACATAAGAGCTATAAATAGCCTCATACAACAGGACTTTAAGATAAAAGATGACCTTGCCCTTAGGGCTTACATATGACTTCCCTTGAGGGGTAAAAATGGGAAAAACAATACAACATAAATAACAAATAACATAATAAAACAAATACATGAAATAACTCAAAAATACATCGACGCGAACGTGGCCGTAGATCGACGACCACGCCTCTGATATACATTCCATGTTCCATGCTCTGATGTCCCCATCAAAAAGTCTTTAATGCACACATAATTTTAATTCCAAAAAGTACCTAAGAAAAATGAGATCATCTTCATCATCATATTGATCATCAATTTTATAGCAATTATTGGGGATTTGTATGATAAATATTTGTTCTCCATTTATTCATGTCAAATGTTGCATGATGTTAAAGTTCCACTCAACCAACTTGGGATGACAAAGAAATGAAATCTTGATCGGATTGGCGACCATCCACAACTATGTCAAAGAAGAAGGTCCATAAACTATCCCTCACTTCACAAGTAATTTTGTAAGAGAAAGAAACTTATGACAATGTGACGGGTAGAGGCCACAATAATTCAGGAAAAATTCTAAGTTTTACAAATCATCATAGCCAAATGAGGATACACCAACAACTAAGGATGTCAGTGTAGTCTTAAACATCAGTCATTACGAGGGGGGTCACTCACTAACCCTTTGATAGTTGGAGATAGCAACACCACCACCCGTAGCCATACTCCCAAAAACTAAAGCCCATGTGATAAGGATTTATTTGCCTATTTTTAAAACTGCTTGGTTAGTTAGGTTCCTTGAGTCTTTTCTTTTATTTTGTTTTATTTTCTGTTTTCTTATATCTTCTAAATAGAGATAGTTGAGTAATTGGTGGCCTCTAAACTTGAAACGTAAGGAAGAGAGGGGGTTGTGGCGGATGCCCTAATGGGCCCAATTGCTTAATGTAATCGCTGTTTAGGAGGGAAAGTTTGAATTAAGGGCTGTTTAGTCTTTTTGTAAGAGTCCTTTGGCTTTAACTAGTCTTTTGGTTAGGGTTTGCTTTTCATTTTAAATTTGGAAGAGATTTGAGATCTAGGGTTTGTCTTTTTGGGCTATAAGCTTTGCTAGAAATTTGGAGAATTGTTTTTTCCTCTCGAATCGAAGAAACTTGTTTCTTGTATTGTTTTTCTTGTTAGTAGATTGAATAGAAGAAGTTTTCATCGTGTTTTCTCTCCAATCTTCTGAAATTCCTGCATCGTTTTGCTGATTTCTCTCTGAATTCAGTCTATTTCTCGTTGTTTTCACCAATTATTGATAGGTTTGCTTGTGAACTCAAGCATTCCCCCATAGGGTTACTTGCAAACTCAAGTACTTCCTATCAAATTGGTATCAGAGCATTGTATTGGGACCATCGGCGGCTAAAATCTTGAAATTTCAACGAAGAAATTTCATCCGGAAGAATATCTTCTAGTAAAGCTTGGGAAGAGATATGGCGGGGAAGAAGGTTGAAGTTTTAGAAGGAGAAATTGGGCAACTAAAATTAGATTTGGAGGGAAAATTTTCTGATTTCATCCAACAATAACGAAAGGATGGAAGGGAAGTTCATCGTGATGGAAGAGAGGTTGAAGAAATTGCTAGAAGTGAAGACCAATTTGGCGACATCGGAAGCAAGGGAACCCATCAACAGCAATGGAAGAGGTGGAAATCCTAACATGTTTAGGGGAAGGGAAAACCTGGAAGTGGAGATCTTGGAGGGTGAAGATGGAATGCCTCATCTAGAACCACTTTCTAGGGAGGAGATGAGCACTGGTTTCAAAAGAAGGGCTGCTGATTTTGTAGGGATAAGGGAGGAATTCTACCGCAAAGGTGCTGAATTTGAAAGAAGAAAATGGGAATTTGATGAAGGGGTTGGGTATGATCGGCGGAGGGAAGATCGTGACAATTAGGGAGTACCTCCTCTTCGCGGAATGGGAGGAGATATGGAGGATTCAGGGGCCATAGGGGTGACCCGAAGGTGAGGAAGCTGAAGATACTCATCTTTGACGTCGAGGATGGCCATGGTTGAATCTACAAGGTGGAATGATATTTCTCCGTCAACGTTGACGGAGGAAGAGAAGCT